AAGGACTGAGAGACGCTCTCAGAGACGTTGAAAGACTCTGAGAGACTGGAGACAGACTGAAAATTTTTGTCTAGGGATTTTTATGTAAAATTTGAGTATTGCATCATTCTTAGTGTTTTTTTTAGTGATGTCCCAATTTTGACATTGACCTTCGTCTTGCTTATTCGGTCTCAGTCTTGATTTGGCTCAAATACTTATAGTCTTGGGTCTTGGGCGTGGTCTTGGTCTTGGTCTTACTGATATAGTTTCGGTCTTCGTCTTAGTTTTGCATGTTATGTCTTGGTTTTGCTCATCTAATATGATACTTTTCGTGATAATTCTTCTAAGTATAAATTATTCCATTTACAGTCACAATAATTGTCTTAAATGCTGAAATTTTATGACATACATGCGAATTTGTTATAATTTTTAAAGAATAGCTGTGAGAGTTATGAAAACTGGAGAACCTACCCTTCCTCTAACGCATAAATTCATCGTTTAGCGAAAAAGTAGACAACAGACTATAGGCTCACCATTTTAAGTATCCATTTTTGTTGATGCCACAAAAAAAAATTCCGACAAAAAAATGTGTAATTTCTATATTCGGTTAATGTTTCGTCATATCTATCTGTAACTTAATTGCGTTAAAGTAATTGCATAAGTGCCGTTTCACACACGCGTATAGAACGCGCGTGTTCAAGCGAATCGGCAAGGGTCGTACAGAGCTATTCACTTATATATAAAATGCGACCCATCAGCGCGACCTTCCAGTGGCGAGAGCAATTGGGCCATTGGTTTTATGAGCGTTTCGTTGGACCGTTTTCTTTTGATTATTAGTCTTCAGTCAATGCATATGTGTAGACGATGAAATCGCAACTAGACTTCCATTTGTTGTTCATTATTGCTGTACTAACAAAAACATCAAATATGCCGCTGAAGTATTTGAAAAAATTGCCTGAGTGTGAAAAGAGTAGGTCGCAGTGATACCTATTGGTACCGCAACGAGATTCTATTCTATTGTTCGGTCAACCAAACATGCACTAGTGAAAGCGTTTATACGCGCGCCATCAGCTCCATGTGAAGCAGCACTAATTCCTGAAAAAGCCATGGCTTGGCAAAAAGACTGTCAAATGAATAAAAATGTGTGGAAAACAATAAAATGTTTTTTAGTATTGCAAAAGAAAGCATGTTCCTGATACGTATAATTATTACACTACGCCGTCGACTGCGCGACATGGTCGGGACTTACCGTTTTGTATGAGAATAAATTGCATGCCGTAATGAATAATGTGAAAGAGGAAATTGCTTGCGTCTGTGATTTTTTCAAGCGTGCCAGCTATATCTAGCATGCTGGTTGCCTTTATAGCAGCGCCACTCAACTTTTCTGAATTTATAAAATGCCGTCAGTTGCCGGCGAAGCGCATGCATATCCTTCGACTTCGTCGTCGTCTCTGACCTGCGAGACAGCAGATAAATAAACGGGAAATTGAATCTTCCATAGTTTATGGATTTTGTTTGCCTTTTACTCGTCTTGTTCGCCGCGTAGGCACATCCAGGCAAAGTGCGCGGTTATCCGCGTAAACTCATTCCTTTCTGCAAGGCTCCGCTCAAATGTTCCACTGCCTCCCCTGACGGTGCCGCTGCCAGTGCTTGTGCTGCTTGATGTCTCGAGATTTATCGACAAGGTCCTTGTGACGCTTTCAATATCTTAGGATCTTAACGTAATAAAACATATGACAGTTTGCTCTGTTCAACTTTTAGAAGTAGAAATATGCAACAAACATACAGTTTTCTTTTTATTTTACCAGTAGGTACATGAGTTAAATCAGAGACAATCGCATCCTCCAGTGGATTTTCAGTAATTTTCAGTGAATATTAACTATCCTTCGCAGTTGTAATAAGAACACTGCAAATTACTTAGTGTATATCAACTGAAGTAACTTGTGAACTGAAAATGGTAACTATTGGGAAAGTCCCCAATAAATTATTTGTGAGAATGGACGTATCTTCTTTCTTATTTCTTATTTTTTATGAGATAGACCCATACGAATGACCCAAGTCGTATTTTCAATATTAAAATTGCTGTTATAAGTATGCATTATCAATAAGCTTCGAGAAACGTGGTCGCTGTAAGTAAATCCATTCTGTCGAAGCAGTTCGCGGAGAATAATACGCGTAATATGGGTTTCGCAAGACGAATGAGAAGATTAAGGGTCCGCAGACGTTACGGTTGCAGGCACATTGCAAGGAAGCAGCAGCAGTTTCAATTAACGCGTCTATAGAAAGAGCGACTTAGCGCGCGCTCCTCTCTTACACTACACACAGTGCGGTGCTCTGGGACGATAGAAACCGACCCATGATCTCGAATTAAAGGGACGTATTATAGAATTTCAATCTAAAATCCGTCGATTGTGTCGGTCTGCTTGGAGCACACATGTTTTGTCAATGGCAATGTGAAGGGTCGCACTCAATGAGCCGAATAATAAGAAGGTTTAGAAAGACACAAATACAAATTAAGGAATATGCTTCAGCTTAACAGAAATTACAATTTTAACAAAACCCCAAAACTACATAATGACAAATGTAAACTAAGTATTCAAAAAAGTTTAGAAATAATTTCAATAGTTAACAGTATTTTACTGTATAATGTGAAATATATTATGTCAAATAATGTTTTCTTTAAAATTAGAAGAAGTGTCTGATTTTAGGTATCTAGGAAGTCAGATAAGTCAGGACGGAAGGGTATGAACTAGCCCNCTATCCGTCTTTCGTCGTCGATGTCGTTTATACGTTTCTGTCGTCGTCGAACGATGATGATGACGATGATGACGGTGACGATGGGAGAGATGGCGACAACGAAGCAGCGGATGGGTCGAGACACTTTCAATGAAAAGAAGTTAGTTCTATGCCCGCAAACGGTTAATTTGGAAATTTGAAAAATATTTTTAAAGGCATGTGTGGAGCGCGGCGTTGTACTATAAGGATGGTGGGCGCGGCAGAAAAAAATATGTGGTGTTACAGGCAAATGATGAGGATACCGTGGATAGAGAAGGTTAGAAAGGAAGAGGTATAAGAAAGAATAGGAGAATAGAGGACTCTATGGAAGTCAATAAAAAATAGGCGAGTTGTTAGGACACCTTCTCAGGTATGAAGGTCTAGTCAGAGACATATTAGAAGCACAAACGGGAGTTAGGAGGGGTAGAGGTAGAATTAATTTAATCGATTACTGTTCGTAAATAGTCAGGGATGTGGGTTGTTCCGGTTTCAGGGAAATGCGAAGCTTCGCTCAGCAAAGTAAAGAGTGGAGCGTGCGTGTCCAACCAAACTTAGGACTGACGACTTTATGATGATGAATCTAATCTAGATTTACCTTTACTCCTATTAACTCTTGTTTATGATTCTAATATGTCTCCAACTAGCCTTTCACACCTGAGAAGGTGTTCCAGCAACCTGTCTGGCCTATTTTTTATTGACTTCGGCTCTCCTGATCATTTTAATACCTTCTTATTTCTGACCTTCTTTATTCACGGTAACTTCATCACTCACCTGTAACACCCATTTCGAACGCTTCTAACCTTTTATTTTCCGCCGTATTTAGCGTGCACATTTCGAACTCGTACAGCGCCATGCTCCAGTCTTTTTAGAATTTCTAAATTAACCATTCGCGAGCATAGAAGTGACTTTTTTATTGAATAATTCCTTGTTAAGTTTGTAAATATACTGTTGTGTTGTTGCCTGTTATTTAGTGTTAATTTCTTCGGTATTAAGTCCTCAAAAAACTCTCAAACTATAACGTGGCCAACAAGCCAAATTACTTATTTTGATATTTAAATCTTTATTATTCACCATTAGGTTTGCTATTCAGAATATTTAACAGGTACTGTCATTTTTCCGGCAGTGTAGGCCAATTTCTTTAAAAACAAAAAGAAAAATCAGTGATAAATGCAAAACTGCCCTGGGATGTTTCGCCATTGAGAACCGTGAGTTTTAAGTACACACGATCTTGTTAACATCTTTCGTCCATCTTCGTTCGTTTGCTACTGAAAATTGGAAACTGTTTCGTGTATATACAAAGTTCATCGTTTACTTTCGATGTTCGGAAAGTGTAGTTCGTTAGGAAGGACAGTGACAAATAAACCGCTATTCCTCTTTCCTCGGGAACGGGTGACAACCAACAGCCAGAGGCTTAATTGGCAAACAAAAACCTGCCTCTAAATACACACGACTAAACGATGAGACGAGAAGCGCGGGACAAGTGCCGAGCAACGGCAACGTAGCAGTCCCAGAAACCGGCCACTTTTAATGGTAATAATAAAAGTTCAAACACCCGAGAAGAGAAAAGCAATACCATAGGCGGTGGCGGCAGCTACGGTTAATATTCTTGCATTTCGATTTTCGATGTAGGTATTAATTGGACCCCGTAACTGTCTTTACACTGTCATTCATCAGTCAAAACCGAAAGCAGAATATCATTAATGCTGATCTACAATTTTCATGAGCAATCTTCCACTACTTGACCCCAATGCATTTTGTTTATCTCGGAACGGAATTAACGAACACAATACTATTATGCAGACAACTTAAATTTCAATGCATTATTTTCTTGGTGCAGGAAATGAGTTGGAATTAATGACTTTTGAGGAACATAGCCACACTCCGAACGTAAAGATTTTGTTTCATCATAGAGAAAATAATTACACGATATCACAATATTGAATAGAAAACAACTGTACACGGCAAAAGACAATTGATTAAATAAAAGCGAGGAATGTTGTCCGTTGTCTTTGTGGTACTTATATTCTGTTAGTCGCTTTTACCAACAACAGCAGCAGCACTTACACATATAAAGAAAGCATACACGACAAGAATGCTACAGAATCGAGATCGAGTTTTTGCTTCTTTAGCTAAAGCTACAGATATTCGTATTTTTTTTTTAGAGCAAGTAACAAAACATTCGTATCTGGCAGAGAGCAGGACAATTATTTATAAGTATACAAGTTAATACGATATTATCTACTTACATAGGGCAATGGCTGTGGAGCTGCTGTCTTGGCTATTAAGTTAGGTCCCTCTGCCACATTTACTGTTCTGTAACATAAAAAGGGAACAATTGTAAGAAACATCATTCGTTTTCTACTATTCCTGTATGTATTACTGGATAATGGGTATTCATACATGCTCGCAATGATAGGTATTAGGGTGCTTCAAACAAAATTTTTAATTTTTTTTTTCTAACTCTTACCCCTTCAAATGTTTCTATCTGATATGATCTATCTCGCCAAACATGAGTCCTGTAGCTCAAATCTAAGGGGTCGCTATTTTTATTTTAATTTCCCATTTAATTAACGAAAAATTCTTTTTTGTTTTAAATTGAATTTACACATAATTTACGCAATTTTTTTCCAAAAAACCGTTTCATATTCTCAAAGTTTAGTCTTTGAGCTTTACAAAACTCTAAGACAAAGTACGATTATCTTTACANCACCCTCTTTAGATCCCCCACCTCCACCCGCTTGAAAATATTTTTTTATTGAATTTTATTTGAATTATAGTGTATGAAAATTGTCAAAATAATCAAGATTCAACCTTCATAACTTTTTATGGGGGTGAGACCGCCGCAAATTTTTATGGGGTTTTACTCAGGTGACTACCCTTTTTCGATTCCCTAACCCCCACACCCTTCGGCGGTGGTGGTCATCATCTAGACCTTTACCTCACAATTATTTGATTGAGACATCATCACATACCTAAACGTTTCATGAAGCGATTTAATTGGACGCAAAGAAGTTTCACATTTAGTTGGATTATTTTCATTCCTCCAATATACAAAGAAAACGCCCTGGTTACGTACCAGTTATTACTCATTCCTAGGTATGATCATTTATATTGCGCCGAACATTAATAGGCGCATGTGGTGAATTATTTTTGACTGTGTAGGGGCCGAGTTAATATGAAACCTTCGTACGAATGCCACTCATTAACATCCGTTTGAAATAACAACTGGCGGCGGACAACAATTACTTAATATCGGGAACGGGTCGGTTCGCTGTCACTCCGCTTTTAATAACGTCATAATCTGATTCCGTTCGGGGAGAAGAAAGAATTCTCATCTGCTCTTCGGCTCGACTCTTCGATGAACGAATTAAACGGAAAGGTATAAATAAGAAGCAACCAAACAACAACAAAAAAAAAAAGACGAACAGAAAGAAAACAGACGGACGGTGCGCATCAAGGCAGATTAAAAGAGATCGCCTTTTTTTTCGTACGTATGCATACGTTGAAAACGCTTTTTGTGGCACGAGGAATGTAACCGAAACCAAACAGTGGCGTGCCTGACACTTCAACTTAACAAAGAAAACACCTCTATTGAAATACAAAGAACTCCATAATCAAAATCGAAGAATATTTTTTATTATAACCAATTTCATCTTACTGATTACAAGCGAAAGCTAAGGATTTGGGTGAAAAAACAGATGAGAAAAACAAACCCAAACTTTTTTAGATAGGTATGTAGGTAGTTGTGTTTACAATATAGGACCCATGGTTCAAGGGAAAGGAAAACTGGTAGAGGGGGTGGGGATGACATTGCACAATATCAAAGAAGTGCTTTTAGGTGGGGGCGGAGGGATAGAGATGAACGGACTGGGGGTGACAATTTAATATTGGTAAAACCATGGCTTCTAGACAAATATTACTCCGATAAACATTATACTGAAAAATTGAAGAGATATTAGAAAGAGTAGGAGAAAAGAGAGAAAAACAGAAGTTAAAAGGAGTTTAGGTAGACTTAGAGTAGATTACTGTTCGCTAATAGTTAAATATGTAGGCTGCTCCAGCTTTCGAGAAATGCAAAGATTGGTTCATCCATTTTTTGGGCTGAAGACTACGATAATGATGATGATGGCGATGATATAGTAAATTTCTTATATATATATATCTGTGGAAGAGAATGTTGATTCTTAAAGAAAATCAAAATGGCTCATGAGTACAAAGTACAAATACATGACTGGGATTCACCTAAATAAATAACCGTCAGCACAACTACATAAATACAAAGTGCTAAAGTAGTGAGACTGGTCGAAGTTTTCTAACAGAACGCCACACTAATTACCCATCATTCCCTGCTTCACGTATTAAAAGATTGAAAAAGTTTTGTATTAAGCTCCAAAGTGCATCGAAGCTTTTAGGATATTATGTCCTTGCTAATACAGTTTTCTTTAAGAAACTGATGTAAGTCGCTGAAGTAAAGCCATATATAATGTGGGTGTAGGTAACAACTTCTAAGATATTATTGTGAGGCTTTCCACTCCGTTTTGATATTATAAAGTTGAGTATAATGAGCTGAAACATTATTGATTACATTTCACTATTATGCAGAAAGATTAGACTAAAGTTGTATGTTCTTAAAGGGGGCAATCTACGGTGGTCTTGAGTGTAATCATGGTTTTTATCTTTAGGGTTATTTGAAGGTCAAAGCTTTTTGCAATAGGAATGCATATTTTTACGCCAGCAGTGGAAATAGTGAGAAACTTAGTACTCGCAGATGCCCTTGGAACTCATTTATTCTAAATATATCCTAAATACCTATCATTATCATCATCATAAGGTCTTCAGTCCTAAGACTGGTTGGATACGTACCTCCACTCTTTCCTATCCTGAGCTAATCTTCGCATTTCCCTAAAACTAGAACGAACCACATCCTTAACTATTTGCGAGCAGTAATCTAATCCAAGTCTACCTCTATCCCTCCTAACTCCCGTTTCTGTCTCTAATATGTCTTTGACTAGACCTTCATGCCTGAGAAGGTGTCCAACCAACCTATCTCGTCTATTTCTTATTGAATTCCATGGAGTCCTTTGTTTTCCTATTCTTTCTAATACCTTTTCACTTCTAACCTTCTCTATCCACGGTCTCCTCGACAAGAACACGAATCAAATTTTTCTTCTGAATGAATATTTTAAATAACCAATTTACATTCCATATCTGGATTCCATCATCTCTTCTCTAGAAGTGGGCTTTGGAGATAATTATAATATTGCTGCAAATTCACCCTACATCGGTAATTAGTTAAAGGAACTTGGTGTCTACCAATGAAAATTTTTATAATTGGGAAAATGTATCACAGGAACCTGATGTATTTCTGTTTAGAGAATATTTTCTGAAGTTAAATTCTTTCCCAACATAATAAACCGGGTATATATTTCTTTAGCTGTACCTTCTACGACATGTAGGTACTATTAAGGGGCCATTTTCTACCCTAAGGAGAGTTAAGATTTGGTTAAGAAGTACAACCGCGGAAGACAGATTGAACGGATAATAGGTGGCATGTCGCCAAAGATAAAAAATTTGTTAAAAGTGTTGTAAATAATTTTGACGAGAATCCTAGAAAACTTCAATATTTGTTTAAAAATTAGATAAGTAAAAGTATCTACCTATATCTTTTTATTATAATCAGGGCCACAAGAGCCTCAATTGGTTGAGAATCAGATGGGTGTTTGTCTAGATAAGGGGTCGGTAAGTCAACATATTCCCTCCTCCAAAAATGATAAGGGTGACGCTCAAAGCTCAAGCATACTTTGCTATCTTCCGAAAAATATTTTTAAAATATAAATATAAAATCCGGACCGTGGTCCGGGAATTNGGTCCGCAGACGTTACGGTTGCAGGCACATTGCAAGGAAGCAGCAGCAGTTTCAATTAACGCGTCTATAGAAAGAGCGACTTAGCGCGCGCTCCTCTCTTACACTACACACAGTGCGGTGCTCTGGCTTCTAAAGTATTAGCTGTTTTTTGTCTAGTGTTATAATAGATGACTCATTTGTTTACTTCTTTAAACTAAAACAATGGTTTTCACAAATGTTATCCCGAGATAAAAATGGTCAGTCTCTCAGAGTCTCTGAAAGCGAGACTCGAGTCTCCGTCTCTCATCGAGTCTCTGGTGTCGCTGAGAGAGACTGTCGAGAGATTGTCAAAAAAACTGTTTAGCGTCTCTGAACGAGAGACTCGAGTCGCTCATAGATAAATCTCTCAATAAGTGTTGTCTCGATAGACATGGTTAAAAGTTTCTAAGTTCAACATATTTCAGCGATCACAGTCTTTCTACAAGAGACTCGAGTCTCTCAATTTTTCAGTTTCATTCATTCAGTCTCTGTGAGAGACTCGAATCTCTGAATTAACAATTTTATCGTTCGAGTCTCTCATACAGAGACTGTGAGAGATCCATAAAAACACCTAGACAATAACTGAGAGACTGTGAAGGACTGAGAGACGCTCTCAGAGACGTTGAAAGACTCTGAGAGACTGGAGACAGACTGAAAATTTTTGTCTAGGGATTTTTATGTAAAATTTGAGTATTGCATCATTCTTAGTGTTTTTTTTAGTGATGTCCCAATTTTGACATTGACCTTCGTCTTGCTTATTCGGTCTCAGTCTTGATTTGGCTCAAATACTTATAGTCTTGGGTCTTGGGCGTGGTCTTGGTCTTGGTCTTACTGATATAGTTTCGGTCTTCGTCTTAGTTTTGCATGTTATGTCTTGGTTTTGCTCATCTAATATGATACTTTTCGTGATAATTCTTCTAAGTATAAATTATTCCATTTACAGTCACAATAATTGTCTTAAATGCTGAAATTTTATGACATACATGCGAATTTGTTATAATTTTTAAAGAATAGCTGTGAGAGTTATGAAAACTGGAGAACCTACCCTTCCTCTAACGCATAAATTCATCGTTTAGCGAAAAAGTAGACAACAGACTATAGGCTCACCATTTTAAGTATCCATTTTTGTTGATGCCACAAAAAAAAATTCCGACAAAAAAATGTGTAATTTCTATATTCGGTTAATGTTTCGTCATATCTATCTGTAACTTAATTGCGTTAAAGTAATTGCATAAGTGCCGTTTCACACACGCGTATAGAACGCGCGTGTTCAAGCGAATCGGCAAGGGTCGTACAGAGCTATTCACTTATATATAAAATGCGACCCATCAGCGCGACCTTCCAGTGGCGAGAGCAATTGGGCCATTGGTTTTATGAGCGTTTCGTTGGACCGTTTTCTTTTGATTATTAGTCTTCAGTCAATGCATAT